GTTCAAAACACAGTTTAGGCAGTTTTTAAACACTTTTAAGGGAAAAAAATTGAACATACAGAAAAGTTGAGTAGCAATAAAAACCCATATTCTCACCATTAAGATTTAAAAATTAAGGTCTTACCAGATTTGCAAATGTGGTGCTCAGGCTTAGAAGTAATAGGCATATTCAGGGAACAGAAGGATCTCAGTATGGGTAGACTTCTGTAATAAAGGCCAGAGGGCTGTGCTGTGAGTTGAAGATGTGCAAAGCCTAGAGGGCCCTGGCAAGGATTTGGATTTTATTTTATTTGTTTAATATATTTTATTGATTTTTTACAGAGAGGAAGGGAGAGGGATAGAGAGTTAGAAACATCCATGAGAGAGAAACATCGATCAGGTGCCTCCTGCACACCCCCCACTGGGGATGTGCCCGCAACCAAGGTACATGCCCTTGACCGGAATCGAACCTGGGACTCTTCAGTCCACAGGCCGACACTAGCCACTGAGCCAAACTGGTCAGGGCAAGGATTTGGATTTTATTATAAGGGCAATGAAAAGTTACTGAAGGGCATTTATCAATGGGTTCTTGCTATTTTTAGTTCCTAAAATTCCCCCAATACTTCTAATTAAATACTGCTGGTGATAAAGGAAGAAAGGGGGAAATGAGAAAGGCAGGCAGATTGTTATGGTGAAAGGTGTCTTTTAGCCATCATAGCCCTTGTTTTTAACCATTGGTACCTTTAGCTTCAGAATCTCCATATTCTTGGAATTCTCAGTTCAGAAATTCAGATACGTGCCTGTGTGTTTCACATCTTTCAAGGTTCCGGAGCACTTTGGTACTGCTTCTGTATTGCTTGATGGTGGACAAGGCTCTTTTGAAGGCACTTTTCTACTTCTGGGAAAAAGCAGTGTGGGCTAAAGAGTCCATTAGTGGTGCCTTTGCTATTATTTGAGCATTGTTGGATAGTCATTTGGTGCTCGACAAAGGGATTAACTTCTGGTTCTTATGAGTAAGGACTGAAATGAGGAGACTGAATGAAGCAAGAGTTGAAGCAATGAAGCTCAACTTTTTTTAAAACAAAGTTTGTATTTGGTTCCAAGTCTTTTTGTTCCTCTTTATAATCACTAAAATCAATTAGTGATTCATGAATCTGTTCAATCATGTATTTTTTAAAAATAAAATTGTATTCAATAGAAAAAAAATCAGCTTTAGTTTTGTTGCATGCATCCGCATGCACAAGTATGTAATTAAATACATTTCTTACTTGTAGATCATGATCAAAGTTTGAAAAACACTTAATGATTTACTGGCTCTATCCAGCTTTCACGATTAATGCAATTAGTTCATTGGTAGCCTTACTTTTTCATTTAGCTTTCCATTCAATTGTGTTACGGATAATACCTTTTATGTATTAAGGATGGATTGTTTTAGATAATTCATTGATTTCTCAAAATCACACATGTGTAAAAAATAATAATACATGTGTGTAATTGAAGGAGGGCAAATAGTTACAAAAAGGGCTTGTCAGAAAAAAATACCAGTTCTTCCCTCCTTTTCCTTCTCCACTATTCAACTCTTTGGATCGATTGTTTTTGGTATCTTTTCCACAACTTTAATGAGCATACTTGTATGACACATCCATGATTTCACCATATTACTCATAACATCTGCCTCAAGCTGCTTATGTTTTCTTTATTATACTCATAAATTCAGTGACAATCAATACTCAGTATCTCTATGCATATTAAGCTAACATGTTTAATAAGAGCTCTATTTCTTAAAGCATGACTCTTCTTTCCCTTTTAGCAATGTTCTACCCACTTGGTCTTCACATAAGAGCCATTCATTAATTTTAAACTTGTCTATGTTGTCAGTTAATTATTTTAAAAGTTGGATCACTGAGTAGCATACATTAGTATAAGATATTTAAGCTTAATACATAGCAAACTTAGACATAAGAAACAGATTCTAAGGCAGAAGTTTTAAGGGGTGTTATTTCCTTGTCTTTGCCCTGCAAAATCTTTGACAGTTGAGTTGCGTAAGAATTGGTGAATTTGAGGACCTAAATGAAAGAAAGCAAAGGATTTGTTTATTACATTAATACTTTAAAATAATAACTATATAATCCTGGCCAGGTAGCCCGGTTGGTTGGAGCTTTCCAATGCTCCAGGGTTATGGGTTTAATCTATGGTCAGGGCATATGCAGGAGGCAACCAACAACAAATCGATGTTTCTCTCTCCCTCTCAAATCAATCAGTCAATAAACAAATAAAATAAGAACTATATCATTCTTATTTACAAGTGTTATAATAAAATTATTTGTATAGTTTTTATTTTTTACTTAATTATTTTAACTATATTTTTAAAATAATATATCATAAAGGAATATATGAAGTGTGAGGGAATGAGAGGGAGAGGAGAAGAAGAGCAAATGTGAGCATGTCATGAATAGCTTCACCACTGTGACTGGATCCTGCTGAGGAGTAACCACTTCTTGTTTCGGGTCCTTGTTGCTCACTGTATTTCCTCAAAATACAGCCTTATTAGTTTATATGTTCTGCAAACTCTTGACTGCCTGGTGTACTAATTACGAGGAGTAATGTGTTGTGCCTCTCCTTATCTGTGCTCTCTTCAGCAGCTGTACTCTGTACTATGAACAGTATTTGGTGTATAGTAAGACTTTCTAAAATCCCCTTTGCCCTGGAAAGTCACTTCTTCCACCATTGAGCCAGAGCTGAAAATATCTCTGTTGCATAGCACCATAACATTTCCTGCAAAATACCGTTTCATTCCCACCCTCCACCCAGCATTGACTGTGGCATCACTGCCATTCGTTATAGAGTACAACTAGAAAAGATATTTTCGGAGAGTTGACTGTGTGAATCCGCAATGTTTATGGAGAATCAACCTGCTTTGCTCCTCACCCCCCTCAAAAAAGAAGTTGAAAAGAGAAACATGATGGAAAATAATTATCCAGGATTTGTGTTCCATGTAGGCAGGTAATAAAAGAAAAACATAACCGTCCCATGGGAGTAAGTTGCCTATAATTGACCCACAATTCTTGTCATAGAAAAGATATTCAGAAGTAAATTTATGCACCTTTGAATTTTGAGAACCTATGTTTGAGGACATTTCCTTTTGTTTAATAAAGTGTGGTTTTAATTAAACAGTGAAGGGTTTACAAGCTGACAGAATGTGAGCTAGTTAGGTGATATTTGGGTATAGAGAGTGCTCAGATGAAAACACATCAAAATGTCACAAAATAACATACCTGTCCATGATTTAATTGTAAGTTTAACATTAGCATTTATTTGCATGCGTTTTCTCTCCTGAATGCTTATCTGTAAATAGATATGTAAATCGCTGTATCTCAAATGTTAGAGGAAAACATTCAAATACTTTCTTCAAATGAAGTCTTAGACAAAGTTCAAAAGAAGTATAATGCTATGCAATAGAGAAATTTTTTGTTGATATGGGGGGGGCGACAAAGTAGGGTTGAGCTATCTGAGATTTGCCTCTCTCTAATTTGACAGAGGTGGGGGTAGGCGTCAGGGGCAGTTAAATATAGGAGTTTGAAACTCACAGTTTGCAAACCACTGACCTAAGTGATCCATAAGGTTCTTCTCAAAAGTGTTATCTTTTGGTATCTTATACCAGGTTTAATGCCTATGAGTTTAACTTACTTTAGTTTATTTAGTGAAAGAAATCATAACTTTTTAAAATATTTCTTTTATTGATTTCAGAGAGGAAAGGTGAGGGAAAGAGAGATAGAAACATCAGTAATGAAAGAGAATCGTTGATCAGCTCCCTCCTGCACGTCCCCTACTTGGGATCGAGCCCGCAACCTGGGCGTGTGCCTTGATTGGGAATTGAACTATGACCTCCTGGTTCATAGGTTGACACTCAACCACTGAGTCACTTCTGACATGTTCCCAAGTTATTTACATTGTTTGTCTTGTTAACTTTGTTTTTTCAAGGTGAGTTCTTGGAATAGTTGATGTGTCCTTTTTTTAGTATATATATATTTTTAAAATTGATTTCAGAGAGAGGGAGAGAGATGGAAACATCAATGATGAGAGAATAATTGATTGGCTCCCTCCTGCACGCCCCCCACTGGGGATCAAGCCTGCAACCGGGGGCATGTACCCTGACCAGGAATCAAACCATGACCTCCTGGTTTATAGGTTGATGCTCAACGATTGAGCCACATCGGCCAGGCTGATGTCTCCTTTTGCACCATGTAATATTGTGGTTGATTTGGTGGGAATGTTGTTTTCTGCTGCCCACAAAAATTGTTTTCTGCTGCCCACAAAAATTAAGAACTTTCAGAAGTTCATTATCTGCATGGTGTTACCCAGTGAGTTCCTTCATAGGAGATAGTTGTATGTAGGTAGAAAGAGTACACGTTGAAACTGGTTGTTAAGGATTTGAGGGTCTGATGGGAGGTTTGTTCAAGGTTCTCTCCAACTCCTATGCTGTGACTACCTGAAGAGGAGGAAAGGGGAGGGTGGGTGGGCTGTGGAAGTATGTGCCCACCAAAGTACTTAGGAGGAACAGCATGAACACTGGAAGAGAGGCCCCTGGAGAGACCCAGATAGTGGGCCTGTTGCTAGTGCTGTTTGACTAAGCTCCTTACCTAAACTTTGAGGCTCCTTGACTCAGTTTCTCAACTGTAAAATAGAGATATCTACTAAGGATATTTTGGATCAAAACAGACCTGAGCTGGTTTTGCCACTTAGTACTCAGCATTGGCTTGGCAGAACTAGGTGCCCTGTGAAGGATAGCTGCTGCCCCTACATTGTCAGCACCTGCATGTTCCTCCTCAAATGGAAACGGTTGGAAGAGCAGGTGATAAAAAAGGTTTTTGAAAAGTAGAAGTGTTCTACAATTCTAAGATATATCTGTATTATCATTTCTCACATATACTGGTAGATTTCCCAGTTCCTACTGATTTAGAAAGTATGTCTTCTGATTGACATCCCTTTCTTCTTACTTGTACCTTGTACTGTGTCCCCAGCTACAGCAGGCAGAGTGCAGCGAGGTGCCTGTCGCCGCCGCCATGCCGTTCCCATTTGGGAAGTCTCACAAGTCTCCAGCAGATATCGTGAAGAACCTGAAGGAGAGCATGGCTGTGCTGGAGAAGCAAGACATTTCTGACAAAAAAGCAGAAAAGGTATGTATTTGGCATTATTTTGTATTTTCAATCTTTTGATTAGGAGCAAGTGTAAATAAATTATGAGGTGATTTAAAAAAAATTAATAAATCCCAATTTGTATTTTAAAATACAACATTTGCTGCTGTTTAAACACCAGGTTTTCTCCTGTACTGCTGACTACCAAACATATTTCTAACTTTTTTCTTCGTTTTTTTCATTTGAGGTTTTCAAGTTTATTTAAATGTTGTGGTTTTTTTATTGTTGAAATGATTTATCTGATTCCTAAAATCAGTGTTTCCACCAGTAGTCTTCCTGGGGAGTTAACCTCTTCTGGTTTTCTTTCTGTGTTCCCTGTTTCCATGATGAATATCTCCCTCTACCCAATCACTACAGCCCAAACCTGACTTTCATCCCAATCTTGTCTCCCCACTCTCCTTCAAAACGGCATCTTTCGCTGATAGTACAAATCCCTACTTCCTGAGGGGTTTATGAATTGATTCTGACTTCCATTCCTACTTAGTGAAGATCCTCATGACCTTTCTTATCTCTAAAATATTTCCCTTGCCTTAAACCTTCACTGCAGACTCCTTGCATAGCACACAAGACTCTGTGACCTCATCTCTCTTCTCTAGGTGAATTTCAACCCCTCCCTTATTCTTGTGTTCTAGCATCTCAACTTGCCTCTGTTCATTGAAAGTAACTAAAGCACATGATCAGCTATACTGTTTTTCATGCCTTTGTCTTATTCTTCCCCATCCCACCCCCCATCCATTTCCACCTCAGCCCTATTCATCTTTCAGAACCTCCCTATACATTACTTTCTTTCTTTTTCAGTTGAGTGCATGGTGATAAAAACTACAATGACAGCTAGTATAGTTTGGTGTCACTGCTTTGAGTCTGGCTAAGGGGTCAGCACCAGCAATCAGTGCAAATGACAGTATAGTGGGAAAGGACAAATTGTATGTTAGTTTGATGTGAAAACAGTTTTGACCCCACGAACCCCTTGAAAGGGGTCCACACTTTGAAATCTACTGTGATATTTAATGAAAAGAGTATGTGTGTATGTATGGTGGCGTTGGGTAGGGAGAGTATCCTAATTTAGATAGGTTATATGGAGGAATTCTTATTGAGGAAGTGACATTGGAGGTGAATCCTATAATGATAAAGCTTAGTCTCTGATGGAGTTCATATCATCTACTTGATTAAAATCAGTGGTTTTCAGCCAGGGGCAATTTTGCCCTCCAAGGGGACATTTGACAATGCTTAGAAACATTGTTGGTTATAACCCAATGAGAAGCTGCTACTGGCATCTAGTTAGTACAGGCCAGAGATGCTGCTAAACATGAGACCTCTCTTCCACCCCCAAGAATTATGTGGCCCAAAATGTCAGGAATCCTGCTCTATACCTAATCACAAATAGACCTTTCTGCTATTATAAGGCAAAGAAAAATAGTTGAATTTTTAAAAAATAAATTTTATTTTAAAAGAAGCGGGCAACTCTGAAGAGCAATCCATGAAAAATCTATTTATTCTGAAACTAGAGGCCCAGTGCACAACATTCGTGTACTCGGGGGCTAGGGGGTGGCCCCTCAGCCCGGCCTGTGCCCTTTAGCAATCCGGGAGCCCTCAGGGGATGTCGGACTGACGGCTTAGACCCTCTCCCTGCCTAAGCCATCCTTCGGACATCTGTAGCGCTGCCATGGAGGTGGGAGAGGCTCCCGCCACTGCTGCTGTGTCAGTCTGGTTTGTGGCTGAGCAGCGCACTGATGCCAGGGGGCAGCTCCTGTGTTGAGCGCCTGCCCCCTGCTGGTTAGTGCGCATCATAGCAACCGGTCATTCTGCCGTTTGGTTGATTGGCATATTACCCTTTTATTATATAGGATAGGATGGATTAAGAATAGGAAGAAAAACCCTGAAATTTCTGATTCACTTTCTTATCAAGATTCAGAAGGAGGTAGCAACTAATTCAAGTGGTGATGAGAGGGAACTGAGACCTGAAAACAATGGAAAGATAAAAATCTAATCAATCTAGCAATTATTTTCTTAAGCATTTCATTTATGATAGCAACAAAAAAGTATAAGATGTCTGAGAATACTTTCATCAGAAAGTATGCAAGAACCTATATGAAAAAAATTGTAAAACCTTATTCAGAGGCACAATAGAATAATTGGTCTGTGTTATCAAATGGAATATAGTTAAGATGCCATTTCTTCTCAAATTAATCTTTAATCATTCAAATCACAGGATCTTTTTGTAACTTGACAAAAAATGATTCTGAAGTTATGGAAGAATAAATACAGTAGCTCAAAGTTATGGTAGAATCTAAGAAATAGGAATTCTACTTTGCTTTAAAGTAAAACACATACTTTATACATCCAATCTTCATCTTCCCCTAATCTATATATATAAAAGCCTAAGCGACCATTACTACCGGATGATCGGCCGGTAGATATGATGTGCACTGACCACCAGGGGGCAGATGCTCAACGCAGGAGCTGCTCCCTGGTGGTCAGTGCGCTCCCACGCCAACCTCCCGTGGTCCCTCCCCCCTGGCCAGCCAACCTCCCGCGGTCCCTCCTCCTGGCTGGCCTGCCCCAATAGGCCCCAATTGGGACTGGGCTAGATAGCCCCGATCGCCGGCCAGGCCGCGGGACCCCACCCATGCACGAATTCGTGCACTGGGCCTCTAGTGGTTAATGAAATTCCATCCTTCTAGTTGTTCAGGCCAAGGTCTTAAGTCATCTATGACTCTTTTCACACTTCCCAAGTCCAGTTATGAGCAAATCCATCCACTTTATCTGGGAGGAAAAATAAAAAAGCCAGAATCTAACCACTTCTCCCCATTTCCTAGTTACCAGCCTAGTCTGAGCTGTCATGATCTCTGTTCTGGATTACTGTATTGATCTTCTAATTGGTTGGTCTTTTAAAACATGAATCAAATGATATTTTCTTCAGGGTAAAAGTCAAAGTCCTTATACAAGGGCTCGAATTAAGTTCTACAGGGCAAATCCTGCCTAGGCCTGTCTTGTAAAGGCTCATGAGCTAGAAATGGTTTTAACATTTTTAGAGGGTTGGTTTAAAAAGCAAAGAAGAATAATGCAAACTTATGTGGCCTGCAAAGCTTAAAATATTTACTGTCTGCTCTTTTACAGAAAAATAAATGCCGACCCTTGGCCCATGGCCTCAATGATTCCTTCTCTTAGTACTCTTCTCACATTAGCTTCCTTTTCTAGTCACACACTCTAGTCACACCCTTTAAGTTTTTGCATTTGACAATTCCCTTTGCCTAGAATGTTCTTCCCCAGCTTACTCCCTTATTGCTTTTCAAGTGTTTGCTCAGTGTCACGCTTGACCCAACCACCCCCTGTGTAAAATGCAGCCCTGCCCTCTGACATTCCTGCTCTCACTGATCTTCCTCTGTTTACCTATGTAGCACTTAACATTTTTAATGTACTTAATGGTGTTTGTTTAATATTTCTTCCCCCTGTTAGAATATAAGCCTTCCAAAGACAGGGCTCAATAACTTTGTATTTATTGAAAATGGAGTAAAAGCAGAATTAACATGAAACATTGTCACTTTAGGATTCGTGCTGATTTCTTAATTTCTACTAAATAGGATAAAACAGGTATTTGGAATATTGTAATGATTTGTATGTTGAGTTTGTGGCTAGTATGAGGATATCATAGCCAGGTATGTTCTGAATTTTATGATGCTGGCCAAGTATCACATTCCCTTTCAGTGCTACTATCCACAGAAGCAGTGAGATAAATGACCCTTCTCAAGAGGTCTGTCCTGTTGGTCCTAGTAGCTTTCAGTTTTATGTTCATTAATTAACTCCCTCTGTACTTCAGGATGCTCAGAGGACAGGACTTTTTTTTTTGGTTGCATGATTAATTACACCCAGTGGATTTGATTACTGGATTACTCTTAGCTTCCAGTGATCTGTTGCAGGATACCATCCTGAAAAAGCTAGAGACAGATGGCTTCACTAGAGATTTCTACCAAACGTAAGAAATCACACAATTTCTACACAAACTTATCCAGAAAATTTTTATTTTTCTTACCTTATTTCATGAGGCCAGGATTATACTAATACCAAAACCAAAGACATTACAAGAAAACTATAAACTAATATCTCTTATGAACATAGATGCAAAAAATTAGCAAATTGAATCTAACAGTAGGATAATAACATCATGACCAAGTGGAATTTATTTCCAGAATGTAGGGCTAGTTTAACATTAAAAAATCAGTCAATGTAATTTATTGTGTTGACATTACATTAATAGACATGGGGGGAATAAAAAACCACAGCCTTCGTTTTCTCTAAAAACTCAGCAAATTAGGAATAGAAGAGAACTTTCTCACCCTAATATAAAGTGCATCCACAGAAACGCTACAAGTAGCATTGCACAGAACAGTGAAAGATTGAATCGCTTATCTCCCAAGATCAAGGATAAGATAGGAATGTCCACTTTCACCACTTCTACTCAACTGTGTACTTGGCGGTTCTAGCCTGTGCAGTCAAACAAGAACAAGAAATAAAAGGCATAGAAAGGAATTAAAAAACAGTCTTTATTTGTGTGAATGGCATGATCATCTGCCGGGAGCCGGTCCATCCTTGCTGCTTGACACAGTCGCTACAGGGAAGAAACATCTGCACAGCATATGTTTCAAGGGACCTGGCATATATAGCCTGTTCTTAATAATATGTTTGCTCTCCTTAGTGCCATGTGTTTTAACCAAGGTCACCTCTCCGAGAAAGGTTGTTTCCCCAGATAGGAATTTTTCCCTGAAGTTAGGGAGGGAATAAAACCCCTTAACTAAGTGCCAGGTGGGTAGTTAATCACTTTAACTAAGAACAATCACTCTTAAGCTACATAATCTTTACTCCCTGGAAAAAGAAATGCCCTAACCTTTGGAATAGAAATTGACAGGATTAAAATCAACTGGTATAAATACAGATGTAACAAGACAACTGGAGACAGAACCTACACACAGAACCTAGGGACAGAA